AAAGGTTAGGATATATGGAATTTACATAATGACATAGAAACTATACAAAATTCATTTTCATTTTTATTAATAAAGGACTTATGAAAAAGTTTTTTTTTGAGTTTTTGGTTTATAGATTTTAGTTCTGGTTTATCTTCTTAGTTTTAGGTATAATTTCAGTTTTTTTGTTACAATTTTTTGGCTATGAAAGTTTTTTTTTATTGAATTAGCTTTCATTCTGGATATTGATTTTCTGGTATGATTTTGATTAACCCGGAGTGGACACTTCTAAATATCTTCATTGAAGTTTTCTTTTGGTGATATAATAGGCTTATGGATTAACAATGCATTAGCTACATTACTTTAGCTCACTGAGATCCTGCGAAAGGACAAGGAATTGCGAAACAAAACTCAGTTGGTTTTTATACTTTCGAATCTCGAGGTGAAGTTCATTGATCCCGACACAGGCCGGTCACTCCTTAAGAACACTTCTGGTGAGCTTTATGTGAGGAGCAAGGTTACTTCAAGAACAAGGAAGAAACTGAGAAGACGATCGATGAACAATGTTGGCTTCACACAGGAGATATAGGTACATTGATGATGATGGAGATATCTTTATCTTTGATCGTATCAAAGAACTCATCAAATACAAAAGTTTTCAGGTAATTTGGTTTTTCAGCTCGGTTTTTATTTTCGGTTTAATTCTGCACTCGATTCTAAGCACGAAGAAGTAGTAGAAGAAACTATGATTCATGATTTCTTACAAGTAACTGCGTGGTTGTTTAACGGTTTATGAACCCTTTGACGCGTAATTTAATCTCCGTTGATTAATCAACACTCTTTGGTTTTACGATCTCTTCTTTTTACCTTTGTTAATAATTCCGTTTCAATTCTGCACTCGAAGCATTCTTACCTCTCCTAGCGATGTCAATCCGCAAAAGCATCTCAAAATGTTCTAACAAATGAATAACTTAAGATAAAATCCTCAGTTACAAAACTTTCTCAAGCTGCAAAATGCTACACAAAAACTCAACTTTCTTCTTAAGTCACCTATAAACAAAAAAAAACCAAATTTTGGACAACTTCAAACTATACAATCACCACGAGTCCCTTCGCGGTTACTTAGTAGATGATCACATAAAATTGAATACTCCAACTCAACTTTCTCGAGCTAAGATTAGTAGTAACCAAAGAAGAACACACATTTCTGATACAACCAAGGTCTATGAACCATCTTACATGACCAACTCTAAATCCAAATCAATAGTAAAGGAAACAAACCGATCTAACCATAACTAGAGCTATATATAGTACAGAAGGATCTTAGGAKCAACGCTTTTAATGATCATTTGTCAAGAGGATGTCTCCGGATATGAATTTTATTTATTATTAGTCATTTTAGTTTGTATTTTCTTAACATGTTTCTTATATGATTTTTTTTCTCACTAACGCTTATGTTTTGTTGCTTAACGTCATTATATCTTACATACACAAGTTTATATATATTTCAAGAATATTAATATATATATTATTAGACTTTATCCTATCTTTAGAAGAGACTAAATACAGAGAGAGCTCATAGGAGAAGAAACCTATGTATTTTATGTTTGTGCTCACATGTCCACGAGTTTGAATGCTCCCATAGGGCTTGATTGGGAGAGCATATTAGTRGGCTTGATGCTTTTTGTATGCCAATCATGTTTTATTAATTGAGCATGAAAGTGAGCATGAATTCCTCCTAAATGCTCGTGAGCCCAATGCTCCCCAAAGGAGCTTTTCCAAAGCATAAAGCCCTTAAAATTATAAAAAGACATTATTATCCTTAATTATTTGATCAATTTTCTGTATATGCCATTRAGAATTTACTATAAATTCATGTTTTCATTTTGACCTAAACCTAAAAACGTTGGAGAAGAAAAACTGAGAACATCATCATCGTAAGTTTTTGTTTTTGTTTTTGACAAGCAACTTACGTGATTTATTGTTTAAGATGATGTTYTTAATATTTTCCATGTACTCTGTTTTTCAATATTCTCTTCTTACCTCTCTGTTTTTCTGTAACTTTTCATATGTATATCTAATATAATATTCATGTTTTGTAAACAGCCTCGAACATGTCTAATCAAGAAGAACATGTGCAGCAGCCAACTGTCAAGGTATGAAGTTATGTATATGGTTTTT